AAATACAAAGTCTGCTGTCCGACCTCGGAAAGAGCCTTCTTCTAGCATTCGACAGTAACGATATCTTAAGTTCCAAGTTAAGAAAATATTAAGCACACATATGAAGAAAGTAAAATCTAATATTATCACTTTAAGTCCACTTGGACTCCACATTATTAAGAAATCAAGCCTTCCTTTCTAGAATGTTGAGTGGTAATGTGATTACTCTACTTTTACCAGGCATTTTAGGCAAGGTCAAAATCAGCACCATATTTTACAGACTGTCTCTTGCTGGGGAATGAATCCTGATTCTGCATAAAAATGCTTCTAGTCGCCTACTAAAACCTTTTCAAATTTGTATTGTCTTTTCCACTCTCAGCCAAAGCTTAATCTGTACCATCTTTGTTTCTCCATGACCTAACTTTAATACCTTTGTCAATAAAGATGGATTATGTTAAAAAAAAAACTCTATTAGAAACTTACCAGAATGATATACTATATAGGAGACACAGGAATCCTGTCACCCCTACAAGGCCCTCTGTCCACTGCAGATGAGCTCAACTGTAACTCCCCTCTTAATCCAGGGTGTAGGGGGTGGGAGTAGAGGAGGAATGCCCTGCTCAGTTGGCCAGAGCATGGCTCTTCCTCTCTTTCAACAAACCAAAACACAGCAAGCCTGGCAGACATAGCACTGTCTTTTCAGCCAGTAGAACCAGTACCAAGATCCAAGGAGATCTCAAGTTCTCCACCTCATGAACCCACTCCCAAACCCATGTCAAAAATCTGTTAATTGAACCATCACTGTATTCAGGTTGTGTTTTACCACTTTGTACTTGCTGATGTTATTTTGGAAGTATGCTTCAATGAAATCACTTCTCCCCTCCCTCAGTCAGATTTGTAAGCAACTTAAGGGCAGAAATGGTATCTTTTTATGGTTAAAACCTCCCATCTGAACAAACAGGGTCCTACGAACACTTTTGAAACATTACTATCTAACTACTCTATGTACCACTGATCCAGAAGTTGCAAATGGTACCAAAAATAAATACCAGGATTAATAGTTTCAACTTAATATTGTACTTCTTAAGTAAATGCTAAAGTTTTGATGCTGATCCCACTTAATAAAGGATACAGAAAAATCATGTTAAATAAAAAATTGAATCCAACTGGCCCAAAAAATAAGAAATTGGTGATTAACCTCCATATCTGTTAAAAAAAATTTCAAAGAAAGATTGATTAAGTAAAACATATTACTAGGAAACATTTCCATATTAAGACAAAAGAGACTATGATGGTTTAAAGACTTTGGACATATAGATATTTTGTTCTGAACCAAAACCTGGGGCACACAATCTGATACTGGATTTCTGTGCTGCTTTTAGTTGAAAGTCTGAAAGATATCATTTGGACCATGAAATTTATAAAAATAGGACAGAAAATTTGAAATTGTCATTGTCTTTTTAAAAGCCTACATCACACATTCAGGTAAATTATAGAAAAAGTTTGATGGAAAGACTAGTTTAATTTGCAGAAAACAGCACTTTCATAAATGGAATATCACAAGATAATGAATAGTCTTGATATACCAGAGAAAAACTTCAGGGACATAAATATAAATTGCCAAGAAGTGGTTCTACATTAAGCAGTCAGAAACATCCAGAGGAAAAAAAAATTCTCATGCAAATACTCAAGTTCTAATCTGCACAAATGGCTAACTTCCTACAACAACTAATGCTCTAATAATTAGACTCTAATTGGGAGATATAAGGACAGTCATTTTCTTGTTGGAAACTCTGATACACCCTTACCTACCTGACCCATCCACACCCACAAAAACTACTCACAATGGTAGAGTACTTAACATTTTAAAGTGTTTTAACATAATCTACTATCTCCTGTGATCAAAAAAATCATGAGACAAGCAGGATTTCACAGATAAGGAAACTAAAAGAACTGAATAATTTTAAAATGGCTTGCCCAAGGCCCCACAGCTTGTAGACTGAGACTCTAATCTCAAATCTAGAACTCCAAATGCAGATGCACAAGGTCATCAAGTGTTTAACTCCAGGCAAAGGTAAACCAAGCAAGCTAGTAGAAAGCAAGGCTTGGACAGAGCTAAGCTCCCAGCAAAGGCCATGTAACTACTGACAGAAGAAGACAGTGACAAGGAATGACTGACAGGATTGCTTTATGCATTAAATTCTTTAGAACTGGCTGGGCGTGGTCGCTCACGCCTATAATCCTAGCACATTGGGAGGCCAGGAGTTCAAAACCAGCCTGAGCAAGAGCGAGACCACACCTCTACTATAAATAGAAAGAAATTAATTGGCCAACTAATATATATAGAAAAAATTAGCTGGGCATGGTGGCGCATGCCTATAGTCACAGCTACTTGGGAGGCTGAGGCAGGAGGATTGCTTGAGTCCAGGAGTTTGAGGTTGCTGTGAGCTAGGCTGACGCCCTGGCACTCACTCTAGCCTGGACAACAAAGCAAGACTCTGAATAAAAAAAAAAAAAAAAAAAAATTCTTGAGAACTAGTAACTACTAAAGTTGAAACAATTCAGTTCTTCATAATAACTATATCTCAGATTTTGAAGTCCTCATCCTAATGAGGAGACAAGCATATAAATAAGTGCGAGTAAGGGTGAGAGATGCTCTAAAACAAACGAGGATGAATACAAGAGGGCTACACAAAAGCTGTGTTTTGAAAGGCAAGCTACAGTTCAGTGGGCATAAAGTGAATGAAACACATTTGGGATAGAGGGAACAGCATGCGCAGAAGCAGAGTTAACTGGCTTCTGGGTCCCTCCCTCCACTCCAACTATAGCCTGTATAATCATCCTGGAAGCAAAATACATCTTTCTTTTAGCATTTTTATCACTGGAAAGGACTACTTCTAACTGGAAAGGACCATCTCTCACTGTAATCTAATAAACCAGCATGTTGTTTTACATGTTGATCTCTTAGAGTTTTGTTAATATGATCTGATCCCTGAAAGATGGATCAACTTAAAAGCACTAATGAAATTGAGTTTCCGAAATGGACCATAGTGATAACACCAAGGTGAGTTAGGTCATCATGTGCGACTGTCTCCTCCCTGGGCAGCTATCTGGCCAGTCTCTTCTTAAACTACAACATTCATTGTATTCTAGATCAATGATACCCTAATAAAGGGCCCGGACACATCAAAACCATGCAAGGAACTTTAAATACAACACAGATTCTTAAGTTTTACTGTTGCAGATTCTGATTTGGTACATGAAGAGGAGTTGGAGAATCTCTTAAAAGTCCCCGAAGTGATTCTGAAGCCCAACCAGGCTGCAGAATCACTGCTTTACACCTTAACAATAAGATTTATAATCAAAAGTCCTCACTGGATTCTTTCTTGGAATAGTATAGGGTAAGATTTGCTACTAAACAGCAAGAAAAATAAGAAATGGAAGCATTAACCATGACTGTGATGGACCACTTACTTGAAAGTGTTTAAAGATTAATTCAGGATTGAAGTACAACTGAAAAGGTGTGATCAATTCCAACTGCTGAAATAGAAAAAGCTTTTTAAAGCAAATCAATAAAGAAACAAAATTTCAACATTTACAACAAAGGATTAGTAGGTCTAGCAATATCCAACTCTCAGTCACTTAGTCTAATTTCCTTTAAGCCTTCCTTTTCTAGGCCACTGGAAGAGGCTGGTAAGGAATTCTCAAGAATTGGTACAATTCTTTGTACTCTCAATATCTAACACAAAATAAGTTTGTTCTATGTTGCAATAGTTGAGGCTAACATGAACGCATGGGAGACAGACAGGTGGTATTTTAGACACAGGACAAGAACAGCTGCTACGAATCTGCCCATTACATGGGCACCACCTAAAACAACTGTGTGAAACAACACAATTCACTTGAAATATCAGAGAATCGAGGCCCCGCCACAGTTAGGGCTGGGTGCCTCTAGCCAGCCCCCTAGTATCTACATACCCTCTTTATCTTAAGCCGTTTCCCTTTCGACAATGTTCAGCTTGTTTTCCTCAATACTTAAGTTTCTTCACTTAATGGACCTTCCTCCCGCTAGTCACCACAGTAAAACCTGGCATTGTGAGAGCTCTCCGACACGTTTCTTAGGTGGGCGGCTCCCGCAGCCCTGACCCTCTATAGGTCCGGCCTTCATTTCTTAGAAACTGATCTGACCCTTTAAGAAGCAGCATTCCCTTCTCTGGTCACTGAATAAGCATTCTCGGCGCTACCTTGAACCCCAGAATAAGCCTTGTACGCCTCAACCCACCCCTGGGACCAGCCCCTCTGGGCCTCCCGGAAGCCCAAACCCCAATTTCCTGAAGACCCACTCATATCCAGCCCAGATAATGAGAAGGTGGCTCTGCAGCTGCTCACCACAGCGGCGGTGGTGAGGACGCAGGCGGTGGTGTAGGCGCGGCTGACCGGTGGGATCTGCAGGTACTCCAGCCGGAGGCTCTGGTACGCCATCTTCCCCACCGCCACCTGCCCCCCCTTCCCCTTCCGCCAGTAGGCCCAGGCAGTGGGGAGGGCTCGAAGCGCCTCCCCTTTCACCCTAACCCGCTGCTGTCCAGTCAGCGACGTGCAATGGACCAGCCACCAATCGCCAGAACCCTAAGAAAGTCACACCCGCCAATCACGAGTTGCGTCTCCTCAACGCCCCAGCCTTGCTTCTCCACCCAGCAACGTCGGGGGAGAAGAAAGTACAGGTTCCTTCCGCCAATCCCCGCTGGCCACAGCTAGCTTTCCCGCCTGGCCCCTTTCCGTCACCAGTCGAGATACCCCTTCCCAGCCCTCAGCCAGCCAATCAGAAGCGCTATAGCATCCCGCGTTGGCTTTCGTTCGCTGAGGCACTCATCAGCAGGGGAGCCAGCGGCACCGCCCATCTCGGGCAGCTAGCAGTAGTTTAAAGGAGGTGGCGGTAAGCTGGTGTGCGGTGGAATTTATCACCCTCATGGTCTCTACGGTAAGTGCCTCGGGGCTGCATTTTCTCTGAGGAGGAGCGGGAAGGGTTGGGACTAGATCGGCATCATCGCGGGAGTACCGCAGTGGCCTGTTGAGTCAGCCTCTCCGGCCTGGCCGCAGGCTCGGTCTTGCAAGTCCCGGCATGCAGCGGGGCCGCAGGGCCCGACGGGAGCCGGGAGGCGGCCGGAAGCCGTTCCTGCTCTGCGGTTTCTGTGTTCTTCCCTGCGTGGTGGAAATCTCTTAGGAAACTAGACTCGTCGGCGTGCCTGGGCACCTCCGCGTTAAATCTGCAATTACTCAGTAGGCCGTACTCATCTTGCCCTCAGGAACTTTTAAATCTATCAGAGAAGACGAGGCGGTAGAACTTGATCAGTCACTACCCGGAAAGAGGTCTTGAGGGGAACTGAAAGGAGAGAATTTATCAGAGAAGTGTGTTTGAACTGGCCCTTGAAAGATGTTTGGCCAGGGCATCCCTCTGTGAAGGAAAGAAGAACTTTGGTTGGAGCAGAGTAGCCAGATCATAGCAGAAGTTAAGAACATCATATTTTGTTCGGTGGGTTATAAGGAAGCACTGAACATTTTTGGAAAAAGGGAGTGACCATCATATATGGTAGTATGTAAAGAAGGACCTAAGTAAAAGGCTGGAGAGAGTGGTTTTTAAAAAGCATGTAAGCTGTTCATTCACAGGAGAAATTTCCCCCAAATATGCAACTATCACACTCAGCAAACTGTTGATAAAACAATGCTGGTTTATTGCTTATTGTAGTAAGGGAGAACATCACCTCAACCTAGCTTTGGCAGTCTCATAGGGAAGAAAGGCAAGATCAGAATTTTTTGAGAATTGGAAGTTTAAGTTGGGTCTTTCAGAGTGGAGGCTTAATTAGAATTGGGTACAGATTATGATACAACAGTACAGGATTGATGGAAAGGTGAGGCAAGGATTTCAGAGAATCTTAGGTTGCATATTGTTGATGCTTTCCACTGAAGAGTTGATCCATCTATTAGGTAGTGTGTATTGAACAATTAAGCCATTTGAACAGTGAAAATACTCTAGTCTCCTAGAATAGTAAAGTCATGCTAATGTAATCATTGGGTGGTATGTGTGGGGGGGAGGAAATGTAGGGTAGTTTCACTTCTGTGTCCAACTTGTGTGTGGTTCTAGGTGGTTTTGGTTTTCAAAGAATAACCAAGTAAAACAATTTTACACCTACAAAATTGGCAAAAATTTGAATGTTGAATAGTATCAAGTGTTGGCAAAGATGTGAGAAAGAAATTCCCATATACTGCAAGTAGGAGTGTAAACCAGCCTGCATGTTCAGGAGAATATTTTGGCAGTATTTACTGAAATTATGATGAATAAACTCTATGGCCAAGTTATTACTTCCCAGTGTAAATTCCCTTCAGGTCCCTAAGAAGACATCAAATAGAAGGGTATTCATTGTAACATTTTTGATAGCAAGATACTGGAAGCAAACTAGGTGTCTGTCACAAGAAGAATGGACACATTCTTCTATAAGTGTGGGATATGCAAGTGATAAAATGGATGGGATACCTCAGTTAGAACCAATGAAGTAAACTTGAGTATAACATGAAGTTATCACCAACAAAGAAAAATGTAAACATACATAAACAAAACTATATTTTTCAAGAATATATATCTAATAAATGTTAAAGATGAATTGAAAAGGCATACATTAAAAACGCTAGATTAGGTTACTACTAAAGATGAGAGATGAAAGGTAGAAGAATAAAATAAGGGAGAACCTAGCAGGGACCAAAAATAGAGTGCTATGAAATAGGAAAGATTGTCAACTCAATTACGTACATGTAAGTACTTAAAAAGAAAAACATAGTGTGGTAAGTAGGGTCAGGTGATTAAGGTCCTCATAAGCCATTTTGAAAAGAATTTGAACTTGATCCTGGAGGCATAGGGAAGTGTTGAGGAAATAAAAGTCCTGCCAACTTAGAGAATCCTCTCCACAAGACAGAAAAGAGAGCAGCTTTATTATTGAAAAAACATATGCAGATTACAATGTGTTATAGGTAATTTTTGAATGAGATTACAAAACCAGAAAGAAATTCTATGCTATTTATGCAGCCGAGCAGTTATAACCACTCTATTTTTAGCCATTACGTAAGATTAACAGCACCTTATCTTCCCATAAAGAGACTTGACTGCACTATTTGCTGCAAATTCTTAATAAACTCCATCCTAAATTCACCCGGTATTTGAAATAGTAGTTTGTTTTCACTAATTGTCTTTATCTGAAAGAATAATAAAACTTCTATTGCTTCTCAGCCTTTTGGCTAAGATTAAATGTAGGAACAATAAAACTTCTTTTATTTCTATGATAAACATATAGTTACGTCTCAGAAAAAGATGCCTAGGATAAACTCACACAATGACAGGGAGATGTTTACCTTTAAAAGGAATGACTCCTAGACCCTTGAAAAAACATTTTAGGGTTCTAAATCTGATAAGAGGCTTGTGCATTTCTAACTGGGATTTTTTTTCAGATGGCTAAATTGGAAGACAAGAGAACTGAGAACATTCCTAGGGAGTGGTCAAAGTGATAAATCATGGGGCCTAAAATCAATGGGGAAAGAAACGATGTGGGAGAGACTGAGACTAAGAGAGGGTTGGAGGGCTGTAAATCTTGAAGATTAAGGTATAATGTGAGTATGCAAATGAGAGTTGTTGGCAGAATAGCATAGGAGATTGTCCAAAAGTAGGAGCAGTTTGGAAGAGTAGTTAACAATTACCAAGAGCCAGGTGGCTAAGAGATGTAGCTCACTGAAGAAACTGAGAGTCTCTAGGGCAGGGATCCTCAAACTTTTTAAACAGGGGGCCAGTTCACTGTCCTTCAGACTGTTGGAGGGCCAGACTATAGTTTGAAAAAAACTATGAACAAAGTCCTGTGCACACTGCACATATCTTATTTTGAAGTAAAAAAACAAACGGGCAAAAATACCCACATGTGGTCCACAGGCCATAGTTTGAGGACGCCTGCTTTAGGGCATTGGTTAGGTCATCTGTCTAGACTTCAAAGTTGTCTAGGATGTTAAAAAAAAATTCATAAGATTGAGCTATAGGCCGGGCGCGGTGGCTCACGCCTGTAATCCTAGCTCTCTGGGAGGCCGAGGCGGGCGGATTGCTCAAGGTCAGGAGTTCAAAACCAGCCTGAGCAAGAGCGAGACCCCGTCTCTACTATAAAAATAGAAATAAATTAATTGGCCAACTGATATGTATATAAAAAATCAGCCGGGCATGGTGGCGCATGCCTGTAGTCCCAGCTACTCGGGAGGCTGAGGCAGAAGGATCGCTCGAGCCCAGGAGTGTGAGGTTGCTGTGAGCCAGGCTGACGCCACGGCACTCACTCAAGATTGAGCTATATGCCAGAGTCTCAGAGGTGAGGGGATTACAGAATGAGGAAGGAGATAGGGAGGATATAGAGCCTTAGAGAGGTAAGGATTTGTATCCTGTTGTGGACAGTAAGGCTGGAAGTGGCATCAGTTATCAAGGAACACAGATTTATTTTTTATATGTTCCTTTGTTTGTGTGCTGTGATGTGATTTGTTACTTTCCTCAGATTTTTTTTTATCCAAATGAATTTTTTTCTTTTTACATTTGCAGATTTTTCACAATAGAAAATAACAGCAAAATAAGCCAAGATGTCTGTTGATCCAATGACCTATGAGGCCCAGTTCTTTGGCTTCACACCACAAACGTGCATGCTCAGGATCTACATTGCATTTCAAGACTACCTATTTGAAGTGATGCAGGCTGTTGAACAGGTTATTCTGAAGAAGCTGGAAGGCATCCCAGACTGTGAGATCAGCCCAGTCCAGATTCGCAAATGCACAGAGAAGTTTCTTAGCTTCATGAAAGGACGTTTTGATAACCTTTTTAGCAAAATGGAGCAGCTGTTTTTGCAGTTGATTTTGCGTATTCCCCCAAACATCTTGCTTCCTGAAGATAAATGTAAGGAGCTACATCCTTATAGCAAGGAAGAATTTCAGCATCTCCAGAAAGAAATTGACCAGTTACAGGAGAAGTATAAGACTGAAGTATGTACTAAGCAAGCCCTTCTTGCAGAATTAGAAGAGCAAAAAATTGTTCAGGCCAAACTCAAACAGACATTGACTTTGTTTGATGAGCTTCAAAATGTTGGCAGAGATCATGGGACTAGTGATTTTAGGGAGAGTTTGGTGTCCCTGGTTCAGAACTCTAGAAAACTACAGAACATTAGAGACAATGTGGAAAAGGAAAGCAAAAGACTGAAAATATCTTAATTTCTAAATAGTAAAAATAAAGAGCCTGTCAAAAAGAATGATAAGGAATTTACACCAATGACTGTTCAAGTGAACTGTATAGTGTATTAGATTTTCTTTGTTCACTCTTGTATTCTACATCTTCCTCTTTTTTGGTCCACTCTCCTGAAGTGTCTATGTACTACCTTGAACTAGTCAGAAGCATCTGTTCTTTAGAGGCCTCTCATAGGTGAGAAGGGATTCTTGATTTAATAACAGTTTATTTGGGGGCATGATTGGGCATGATTGAAGAAATAAGCCACGGCCAGTATTTGTAGAGTTGTACCATGGTCATGAGCCCTTTGTGACCTTGATTCTTTTGGCTTATTCTTTGGATGAGACCAAATGAGAAAAGGGTTAAACGGGTGGCTTCTTTATTTACCAGTCATTACGCTATTGGGACAGCCAACATAGAATGCTTGCTCTTGCCCAGTAACTTTTCTTACTTGAGGGAGTTGATAACTAGTTGAAAGAAACAAGAGCAAAAAAGACAACCTCAATCTTTGGTAAAGAAGAACATTATTCTTGTTTCCAAAATGAATCTTTCCCATGACCAAGGCCCTAATAATGTTAAGCAGCTTACTATCTTGGAGTCCAGCAGGAGAAGACCTTGGACACAAAAGGAGCAGATCTGGTATAGAAAAGGAAGCTTGGACCATATCCAATAGTGAAATTTATATTTATTGACTGTTGGGTATTTATATCAATTTCTTTTCATACTTCAGTTAATTTTGGAATCTGCCTTTTTCCTAATATTTAATTATATTATTTATTTACGGTCTTAATTATCAAATATTTAGAACCCTCGGGGAAATTTTAGCTGCATCTTATGCTTAAATTCAATGGAATCTAATATTTCTTTTGTAATTGGTCCATGTAAAATGTTAGATCACCCATGGAAAGGGAAGAAATAGTAATGGTTGCTCTTAAGTATTGCTTGCCCTTCACGTCTTCTTAGAGTACAGATTTGAAGTTTCTCCTTTATGTAAAGGAGGAGTAACTTAGGGTTTATTTTTAATATTTGCATTGAAATACATGTAGATTTAGAAAGCTTATGTTTACCTGAAATATGTTTATTATCAAGAAATCATTTTTCTAATCCTATACATTAAATGTATGCATTTTAATGGCTTTGGTTTTTTTATTTTCTGCTATCTTTAATGTCATGTTGTGTTCTTTCCTCAATATGACTTTTTACCCAGATGAAAACGTTCTATTCACATTTGTAGCTTATTCAGAATCTACTGTAGTGGGTTAAATGGTGATCCCTCAAAAGATATGTTTATGTCTTAATTCCTGTAACATGTGAACGTTGCCTTATTTGGAAAAAAGGTCTTTGCAGGTGTAATTAAGTTAAGGATCTGGAGATAAGGAGCTCAGGAATTCAAGACCAGCCTGAGCAAGAGTGAGACCCCATCTCTACAAAAAATGGAAAAATTAGCCAAGCACAGTGGTACGTGCCTGTAGCCCCAGTTGGGAGGCTGAGGCAGGAGGATAGCTTGAGCCCAGGAGTTTGAGTTTGCAGTGAGCTATGATGATGCCACTGCACTTGAGCTAGTAACAAGAGGGAGACTGTCTAAAACAAAACAGAACCACTAAGCCTGCCACGTGGTGAGTTCTGTTTTTAACAAATTAAGCTCTGTGAAGTTAAGGGTTGTGTCTGTTTTGCTGATCACTGACTGCATGCTTGGACCCTAATAGACAATGACACCATAAAAAACTTAATCCATTATTCTCCCAATATTAGGTTCCATTGTCTCCCACAACTTAAACTTACTGCTGTCCCAAGATATTCAGAAACTACCACTCACTTCACTGTCTCTATACCCACCACTGACAATGCAATATATAATAAATAGGACAATTGCCCAAAACAATTGGCTCTGCCTTCATCCTTTGTGATCTGCTGAAAGTCAGTTTATCACATGTCTGGTATATTTTACCTGCCTAGCATCCATGACACTTCAGTTTTCTTCTGGGAAACTCTTTTGTTATCCTATTTTCATGTGATTGCCTATTAAAATATCTCTTCTGTCTTTTGGCCAAAAGTGGGCACGTAATCCCAGCCAGGCCAGTAAGATTCTAGAATTTGATTCTTGAGCAACATGGTGTAAGGACCGAAAATGGGCCAATTTGTTTTTATGGTCAAATGCTGCAATTGCTGTCCACTAATACTTGAGTGGACAGGTAAAAGCTTGATTTTTTTTGACAAGGGAACTTCTTATTGGAAGCCCAGAAATTGGAGGACAGTGAAGAACTCAGTATAAGGAAGCAGAACCTGTGAAATTAGGTGGGCAGTGGAGGGATTATGTGAATACTTAAAACTGTATGAGGAAAATTGGCTAGCTCAGACACATCACGATGCTAAAGGGACACATACGTGGGTGATGTGAAAGTAGTGGAGAATTAATACTGGTTAGAAAATGCAGGCCAAACCATTGCAGCTCTATGGAACTAGAAATTTCAAAAGTGAGTATCAGGTATGAGGAAAAGTAACCAACTGACAGGAGAGAATATGGGGGTATGGGAAGAAAGTGAGTTTTGGGGCTGGAGTGAGCTTAAAATTGAGGATAGCAGCAATGAGGTGAATGTTAAGGAAGACTGGATTACAATATTGAGACAGTAATTGCATTTTTGGGAAACACTGCAATGAATCCTGAAATAAGGGGATCAAATGGGGCTGGATATTTATGAGAATATGAAAGCTAATGTTAAGATTGTAGAGGCCATAGGCCTTAATAGCAGCGTAGTTATGGGAACCAGATATTGGAATTTGGGGTAGAAAATGGAAGCCCAGATTTGGTAGCACAAAAAGGGTCAGGATATTGTGAAACAATATATCAAATGTTGAGCAACAGGGAACTGTGATTTTGAGAATACAGAGAGGAGCCTATTGTCAGGGGATTAGTTGAGGGAAGGATATTGAGTAGTCATTGAAGGACTGTATAATGAGAGATAACAGGGAATGTGTGAATGGGAAACAATGAGATCGAATGTTTGGAGAGCACCAGGCCATATGCTGGGATTCAGTGGGTAGTCAATACTAAGAGGTAGTAGAGGATCCAGTATCCAAGATCGAAAGTTGGAAAATAGTGAGATACATATTGTGGTACCTTGGAGATGTAATTTTGGAGAATAGTGCCACTGATTGTTGGAGAGAATTATTGTAATAATATGTGGCCATAAAGCACAGGCTGACAATTGGGAACAGTGGAAGTCCTACTTGTGGCACTGAAAAAGGTATAGAGGGGCAAGATATCAAGGCATATAGTGATGTGGGATTATGAAGTCAGAACTGAAAACAGCAAGGCCCCGATATTGGAAAACAAACACCCCAGGCTTGGTGAATTGGGGTGAATTTCAGAGCTTAGGCGATGTACTGGGTCAGAAGTGTCTTGATAATGGAGGCAAGAGGGGACTAAATACTGTGGAGCCATAGGTAATTCCACACTGGGATAGTGTCAGACCTGCTGTCAGGGGATGGCAGAACCAGATACTGGCATGCTGTATGGTCCTAATATGGACAAAGATGCCACTGAGGGGTCTGTATAGCTATTTAGTGGAGGGAGACACTGTATCTTAAAGTGGAGGGATGTAGTGAAGATCATGGGGTTATGCTTGGAGCAGACTGGGACAAGTCTGGCAGGGCCCACTGCATAGCTGCAAATTAATGGAGAGGTGAATATAGAGGAGACTGAAAAAGAGGTGATTTATTCCATCACAAGTACCACAATTACAGACATTTCCAAGTAAAGTATATGCTATGTGACAGGGCTTTAACATTCATGAGTAAACAGAGATGGCAGGTGGGTGAATAACCTGCCAAGGTGGGTTCTGGTATTGAGTCTGAGATGACAAACCCTAGGGGGTCAGGTGGCTTTCCAGCACAGACTCTTGCCAATGACAAACCCATCAGCCCCTTAGTCTTGGGTCCCACAGTTCCAGAAAAGCTCCGGGCCAAAATGAAGCCATCCCAGAGTCCCCAAGGACAGTCTTCTCGAGGAACCCGCTAGGATCCCTAGAGTCTCATCCTGCAGAACTGGCGAGCTCGGGGCCTGCGTCCAGGAGGGTCTGCAGCCATAGGTCCCACGAGGTCCTGACACATCCTGAACGTGGCCTCCCGATAGGACAGCTCCTCTGGCTACGGATCTTGGCTCTGCCCAGAAGCGACACCAAAGTCTAAGGCAGAAAAATGCACCGTACATTTAGCCGGAACCCCTGGGGGCGCACCAATATACACAGACAATCGCCACTCACCGTGTCCTGGAGCTACGTGGTCCTGTCCTTCTCCCTTGCCCCGCACCAACTCTGGGACACAGCTGGCTCCTCCTGGGGGCGATGCAGCATCACAGGGCTCCGACCCAGCCTGGGCCAGGGCGCCGACCCTCCCTGCCTGGCCTTCTCTGGAAGGCTCCAGGCCCGGGTCTGGCTTACCCCTTAAAGAACAGAAGGTTGGGCGCGCTCTGCGCTCCCGAAACACAAAATGATGAGTCCCTGGGCGCGTTCCCACGTCATACAGTGGTAAGCTCTAGGGACATTATCCTAATTAAAAACAGATTCAATCGCACCACGGAATTCTAAACATTAGAGGCTGACTGTGCCCCCGCCTCCAACTGCAGGTACAAATAGCACCCTTATTTCATCGCTGGCAACTACTTTGAACCTTCCTACTGGTGGACAGTTAGAGAGTAACAACAGAGGGGATAATAGAATGAAAGAGGCAGTGACAACAGAGTAGGAAAGAAACTAGCATCGAAAGCTAGACGAAGGGGGCGCAGCGCTTCTCCAAAACACAAAATGCTGAGCCCTTTTTTCCTTTCCCTCCCCGCTTGGCCCTGCGCCCACCCCGTCCCGCCCTGGCCACTCAGGCGAGCTGTAAGTGGATATAGGTAAAGATGCAGGAGGTGATGGAGAAGGCGATGGCCACGTAGATAAACATGGAGAGGTGCGGAAAGTGGTCGAGGTAGCAGCCCTGGTCCAGTGGAGGCTCCTCGTCCTCGGGCGCGGGGCGCGCGGCGGCCTTCGGGGACTGCCAGGCGCGGCCGCCCTGCGCCCTCCCGCCGGCGCGCCGACCCGCCTTCCTGCCCGCGCGGGCGGCTGGGGGCTCTTCCGGGGGAGCCTTGTCAAACAGGCCTTCGGACTCGGGGTCGGGGTCCCGGCGAATCTGCTCGGGACCCCAGGCTCTGCGCTGAAAGAGTCCGTCAGCCATGGGCGTGGAGCGCGGGCAAGTCGCTCAGCTGGGTCCGGGAGGTCAGGTCCACGCCGGGTCCCAGCGCTGTGCACTGCGGCCGGGGCTGCGGGTGTGTTTCTACCGCCTAGGGTGGGGGCGGCGGGGGGCGGAATCCGCGGGGCTGGTGGCCTCTGCAGGGTCCGCTAGGCCTCTCTGCTGAGGCGCCGCTTCCCCTGGCTCCGCCTTCCGCCCCCAGCCTGTTGCAGAGGTTGGCTCTCCGGGTTCCAGCTCCCAGCCTGTGGCTCCCAAGTCTGCGCAGCCAGGTCTGTCTCCATGGCAACCAGACAGGCGGCACGCGGGGGGCGGAAGCGCCAGCCGCCTACTGGGACCCTAGGGGCCCAAACCGGGCTTGGCACGCTAGAGGCTGAAATGCTGACGAACGACCAGGCTCCCTCCTGTGTGGGAGCTTCCCCAGGGCTTTGTGTTTCCTTTAAAAAAAAAATGTTTATCGTGGGGTCTTTTTTCAAATTTTTAATTTTAATGCATGAAAAACTAACACATAATCTTTGTGGAGAACTTGAAAATTAGAAAACAGTATAGGCAAAAGCAATTAATAAAATAAATCCTTTCACAATCCCCAGGTCCATAGACAGCACTGGTAAAGAGTTGGTGCATTTCTCTGCCTTCCTCCTTCTCGCTCTTTCCATCTCCATCTGTATCTACACATCCTGCTTTCTCTTCTTGCTCTTCAGCCATAAAAGCAGCGTTCCAGCCTTTTGAGCATCTCACATATGATTACGAACAAATCCTTTCAAAGACCCGCCTGACCTGAGCCTGTTTCTCAGACTTCCCTTTGGTCCACTTAGGCTCCTCTTGGTATCCACCAGGCCCTCTCTGGTTTCAGCTGGCAGCGACACAGACTGCTGGGCACCAGTGTCTCCTGGCACCTCTCTTGCACCCAAGGTTCCAAGGCTGGTTGGTGTTCCCTCCTGGAATGGGGGGAGAACAATCACCTGAATTTATATGGGTCCCAGTGGGTTGGACGGGTCCACTGGCAGGCCCTGTCAGTTCAGCAGATCCAACTTAAAATGCCATCAAGGAATTCATTGTCTCCAGCAACTGAAAAGCCCCAGGGGGACCAGGACCAGGGTGCTGAAACAGCATTACTAGGGTGCTGTTTCTTACCATCCTACAGTGTTGCCAGGGTCTTGTTGCATGGCCAGAGCCAACCAGGTAGTGGTAGGTACTCAGATAATATTTGCTGAATCAGTGATGCAGCCAGTGAATGGCTGTTACCAGCAGGAGGCTCACATTCTCACAGCGTAGCAACTCCACCTTAAAAGAGCTTCCAGTTGACTAGGATAAGGAGAATATGGGACCCTCATATGTGCAGATGAGAATGTCAGATGGTGCAGCTACTGTGGAAAACAGTTTGGCAGTTTCATGAAAAGTTAAGCATACATTTACCATACGACCCAGCAATTCCACTCCTAGGCTTCTGCCCAGGAGAAATGAAAACATATGTCTACATAGAGACTAGAACATAAATGTCCATAGCAGCATTATTGGTAATAGGTAAAAACTGAGAACAATCCAAATGTCCATCAAATGGATCAACAAAATGTGGTTTTATTTATCAATTACCTATGTAATTGATTACTATTCAGCAATAGTAAACTACTGATGCATGCTATAACTTGGCTGCATCTCAAAAATGTTACAATAAGTGAAAAAAGCCATATGCAAAATACCACATATTGTGTGATTCCATTTATATGAAATGTCTAGATAGGACACATCTATAGATACAGAATAAGACTGTCTTTTTGGTAGAAAGAAGGGGTGTCTAGAGTGGAATGGAGGGGTATGTATGATGGACTGTAAGAGTGTAAGTTGGAATGGAAGCGTGTGTAGGGTGGAAAGGAAGAATGTATGCAGTGGAAGGGATGGTTGTCTAGTATGGAGTGGAAGGGTATCTAGGGTGAAATGGAAGGGTGTGTAGGGTGAATAAATAGGGATTTTAGGGTTGTAATGGAAAAGTGTGTAGGGTGAAATGGAATGATTTGTAGGGTGGAATGGGAGGGTATATAAGGTAGAATGGAAAGGTGTCTAAGGTGAAATGGAAGGGTGGGTAGGGTGGAATGGAGAGTGTATAGAGTGGATGGGAGGGTATATAGCATTGAATAAGATGAATTGTAGGGTGGAACAGAGGGGCATCTGGGGTGGAATGGAACACTGTCTTGTTGGAAAGGAAGGGAGTATAGTATGAAATCCCAGAATGTATAGGGTGGAATGAAATCATGAGTAGGGTGATAGAAAGGTTGTATGGTGGGATGTTACAGGGAGCATTGGGTGGAATGGAAGGCTGTGTAGGGTGGAATGGGAAGGTGTATAGAATAAAATGGACAGGTGTGTAGGGTTGAACAGAAGAATGACTAGGATGAAATGGAGGTGTGTGAAAGGTGGGATGGAGGTGTGTCTAGGGTGGAATGGAAGAATATCTTGGGTGAAATGAAGTGGTGTGTAGGTAGAACAAGAGGGTGTCTAGTGTGGAATGGGAGGGTGTGTAGGGTCTGTAAGGTGGAATGGAAGGGTATGTTGGGGTAACCAAGGGATGTGTAAAGTGGTATGGGAGGGTGTACAGGGTGGAATTGGAGGATGAGTAAGGTTGAATGGGAAGATGTATAAAGTGGAATGTGCGAGTGAGTAGGGTGGAATGAAAGGGTGTGTAGAAATAATGTGATAGTGTGTATGGTGGAAGGGAAGCATGAATGGGATAAAATGGGAAAGTGTACAAGATGGAATGGAAGGGTGTGTAAGGTGGAATGACAGGGAGCATAGTGTGGAATGGTGGAGTATTGGGGGTGGCATGAGTGGATATTTAGGGAAGAATGGGAGTGTGTTTAGGTTGGAATAGAAGAATGTATAAAGTGAAATGGAGTGGTGTGTAGGGTGGAATGGAAGAATGTGTAGGGTTGAATAGGAGGATATACAAGGTGGAAAAATGGTGTGTAGTGTGGAAGGGAGGGTTGTAGGGTATAACGGGAGGTTGTTGGAATGGAGGATGGAATGGATAATTGTACAGAGTGGAAAGGAAGGGTGTGTAGAGTGGAATGGAAGTATGTGTAGGCTGAAATGGAAGGATATCCAGGGCAGAATGAAGTGGTCTGTAGGGTGAAATAGAAGAGAGTGTAAGGTAGAATGGAGGGGTATGTAGGTAGGAAAGGAAAGGAGTGTAGGGTGGAATAGAAGCATGTGTCAGGTAGGATGGAAGAGTATCTAGGGTGGAAGGGAAGGGTGTGTAGCTGGAATGGGAAGTTATGGAGAGTGGAACGAGAAGATCTATAGGGCAGAATGGAAGGATCTTTATGGTAGATTGAAGAGGTATGTAGGGTGGAAGGCAAGTATTTTTAATGTAGAATGGGAGGGTGTTTAGGGTGGGTTTGGAGGGTGTGTAGGGTAAAATGGGTGGATGTAGAAGGTGGAATGGGATGGTATGTAGATTAGAAGGGTGTATGGGTGGAAAGAAAGGGGGTGTAGGATGGAATGGAAGAGTGTGTAGGGTGGGGGGAGGCTATGTAAGGTGGAATGGGAGGGTGTGTAGAGGGGACTTGTGTTTTTTGGTGAAATGAACGGGTGTCTAGAGTGGAATAGAGGCTTCTTTAGCGTGAAACAGAAAGGCGTCTGGTGTAGAATGGAAGAGTGTCCAGGACTAAATGGGAGGGTGTGTAGGATGGAATTCCAGAATGTGCAGGCTGGGAAGGACGTGTGTGTAGTGTGGAATTGGAGGATGTGTGTGGTGTAGTGGGAGGATGTGTAGAAAGGAAAAGAACAGTGAGTAGAATGGAATGGGAGAGTGTGAGAGTAGCAGAAAAGGATGGGCAGGGTGGAAAGGAAGAGTGTTTAGGTTGGAACAGAAGTTGTACAGGGTGAATAGAAGGGTGTCTTCAGGTGGAATGGCAGGCTGTGCAGGGTAGAATGGAAGAGCCGTGTGTGAGTCTGCAGTGCTGAGAAAGCTTCACAAACCTGCCCATCAGGAGTGGGCTGGAGAGGCAGGGGGAGAAGGCTCAGAAGCTGGGGTGTCTTGGGGCCAGCCTGTGCGAGGGCTTGCTGGAGAGGGGCTGGAGGTAACTAAGGAGTGAAGGTGTTAAAATGCTTTAGCCACTGCAGTGGTCCTTGCATATTAAGAAGGCGTGAGGTTAAATTTGGAGCTCAGACAACAGAGATTCAGTGTCCCCAGGACACCTTGTTATTTTCCACCTGGCTCATCTTTACGGAAATGAACATAGTACAAAACAACTCTGGTCTCAGTCTGGTGACCTCTGGGGGCTCTATCTGTCAGGAATTGAGAGCTTGGCTGACTCCATGGGCTCACCTTGCTGTAAGCTCTGCCTGTGCCTTGAAATGAGAGAGCTAAGTCTGCCCCTGGCCGGGAACTTCAAGGCCCCCAGGCATCCCTAATAAGACAGATACCTAAGCTCTCAAGCTCCAGTGTCACTCCATGTTTGGTGCCTGAGTGTTCCAGGGAAATCCCCATGAGTTCAGGGCCTGGAGCCAGAATCCACCAAAAGGCCCTGAATGGACAAAGGCTGCCTTTAGCTCCTGCTTCTGGGACCTGCCCAGAGCACATAGCCCTCTGGGTATATGAAAGAGAGGCCCCTTCTGGGAGGATCTCTGCTCCTGAGCTGTGCCTAGGTAGATTTCTTTCATCCATTTAGCAGGATTTGCCAATGGACAAGGGATACACTGTCTGAGTGAGCACAAATCAGGGATCTGAGTCTGCCAGGCCAAACACCAGATCTGCACAATGGCCAGCTCTCCATGTTGGTGATGCCTCCTGTGAGCAATCCCAGGACACACACAGGTAATAACAGCAGCTGCCACTGCTGCAACAGCAGCTGATTGCTGAGCACAGACTGCGTGCTGGAAACTGTGCTCAACGCATGGCAGATGTGGCCTCACTTAATTTTCATGACCCCATAAGTTAGGCGCTAATATTCCAGTGAGGAAATGGAGGCTGAGAGATGAAGGAACTTGTCCAGAATCTACCACTAGTACTGACAGTGCTGGGGTTCCTACCCAGGTCCCCCTGACCCAAGTAAGAGCTATACCTTCCAATCCCCACCCCCAGCTGGCCACCCCAGGCCTGCTCACCTCCAAAGACCAGGTACACTGAGCAAGAGGCAAAATGCACAAAGGCCACTTTTAGCTCAAAGTTCTCATGCCCAGCTCAGGAAACAAGCTTTGGTG